CGAGCATGCATGAAATTGATGACTGTTAATGAAGCGAAAGAGGTATATAGGAATCGTAGTAATTGGCGTTCCATAGTCTCTGTCTACTTCTATGGGAGACAGGCGTGAAGTTAGATATGTATGTAATTATTATAGTACTAGCTTTTGCCCGCGACTTCGTACACGCGACCCCGTTATTTTCCGTTCCCGTTCGTGATTTTCGGTAAAAAGAAAGCCTCCGTTAACCCCACCAGACCAACGAAACCAACGCAGATGTTGTTTTACGTCGGTTTTCTGATCGGCCGTGGTATCACTCCGGTCGAGCCGGCCCATTCATACCGAAGCATGGCTCTCCCAAGAATCTTAGAAATGAATTCTATTCACTTATAACCTAATACAACTAGACGCTACTAACATATGCATTAAAGCAATATATAATAACATAATTACAAATCCACGAACACAATAAAACGGTAGTCATATAATTTTTTATTCACTATGTCTCTCATTAAATATATTGTCAAGGTTTCTGTGTAGGACGCACTTTATACGTCAGTAGGTGTGAGGTAGACAGAACAATAGTCTATCGTAGAATTACAGGCTTAATTTTGTGAAGTACTATCGGCAAAATGTGTTGGTGTCCAGGGGCTTTAGTTCGGTAATAGAATAGTTGCAAAATAGTATAATATTGTTTCCTTCAAAATCTATGTTGTAATTTGGAATATGTTTGTGATATGTGAACTTACTTTAGTTATTGGTTCATTAGAAATTGCTTGAGTTTGATTGTGGTGGTGTATAGTGGCAGTTGTGTGATTGTACTTTATGTAAAGATTTACTAATTAATTATAAAGCAAGATTGTCAAAACATGTTATCGTTTTATGGGACAAGCCCGTCATAACCTCCAAAAACCGCTGCGACTCCTGTAAGCTGTTACAGTAGATACAACCATGAAAACATCGGAATTCTGAAGTCTGGCGCGTCCCAGGGACATGAGTAACTGTCTTGGATCCCGCAATAAAACACATCAGAAGATATTAATAGAGGAGAAGAAAAAAATTGACTGCCTCGTTGGTCGAGTGGTCGCAAGTGCGACTGCCAGGCAAAGGGTCTCGGGCTCGATTTCCGGGTCGGGCAAAGTATTACTGGGTTTTTAACAATCTCAGTAGTAGCACGGAGTCTGGGAAAGTGCCCGGTATATGGCAACAGGCTCACCCCCTATTACATGGGACTCATAACATAAATAGTGAAAAGTGGGTGTTACATTGTATAGTGGCATTGAGTGCCGTAATGTGCACCTCTGTCTACCTTTGTCTTTGGGACTAAAGGGCGTGATGTTATGTGTGTATATGTGAAGAAAAAAAATTTAGTTTTCACTTCCCTCGGTGAATTTGATGACAAAAGGCACAAAATAGACTGCACAACTGGGAGAAGCTAAGATACTATGTTATTCATTTCTTTCTGATCTCGGTAGGTGTTTTATTACCATCTCCAGGGTGGGCTACACCACAAAAATATAAAAAACCTTGTAATTGACGCCACGAAGCCAAGAAAATCTCATGACTCAGTAACAGTGGGCGTCCTCCACACCATACTTGACGAAAATGGTAAAAACAGTATACATTATATTATTAACATGAAACATATGATTCACCGTATATTATTAAAGCAATAACGGAGGTTTAAGATGCCTGCTTGTCATGCATGAGGGTTCGAAACCTACCAACGGCAAGTACCAATGTGACTTTTTCCCAGTTATATGTACTTTCTAAGATTATTCAGACACCACTGACAAACGGTGAAGGAAAACATCGTGAGGAAATGTGGGTTTACAATTTCTAATTATCAGTTTGAAATCGTTAATCCGCATAGAGCAAGCGTGGTGATTAATGCTTAAACCTTCTCCCTGGGAGAAGAGGACCTTAGTGGAGTTAGTGGCAGCTTATAGGCTGTATACGTGTGTATGTATCAAGGCAAAAGCTAAAAATTTCCTTATGTCATGGCTAATGCTCACAGTCAAGTCAATGACTGCTAACTCCATACTTTTACGTATGAGACATGGTCGGTAGACCGAAATAAATGACAAACAACAACTTCAAGGAAATTACATGGTTATTTTGTAACATATAAGGTTGCAAATCCTACGCAGAAACCAGTTTTAGCATTTAGTGTGTCGTGATTTATTTTGTTTAGCGAGTGATGAATTGCTTTTTTAGTAAAAGGAAGGATTTATGTGTTCAAGTTAAATTTGATAATATATAAATATAACGGTGATGGCAATAGACTGAAGGAAGAAAGTTGATTTGCGTGATCTGCATGTACAAATAGATAGTTTCTTAGTCCATGGTAAACTATGATGAAATGATCACTGATAGTGGAGAATGGAAGAAAACAATATTCTATTCAGTCCCACTCTAAATAATTTGTGCTTTACTGTCATATTTATTGATATCAGAATGAGATAAAAGTTTATTTCCAGCTTTAAACAAATTAAAAAAAAATTAACTAACTCCACTTATTTCAAAGTTACATGTCGTAGTCCATGCGATCTTCCCTTATCTTCTCTTTTATATTATAACTTTCGTGAGACATACTAAATTGATTATGTTTTTCCTATTAAGAACTCGAACTTCTCCCGCCTGGGTGATGCGACAGCGACTGTCAGATTCTCACTGCTATTGTCCAATGACTGCTCCCGCCTGGGTGAGGCGGGAGGGAGTGTCAGACTCTTACTGACTAAAAACCACCCCGTTCCTACTCCTGCACTTTGAGACCCGGCAACCCGTTAAGTGCTCCGCGGCTCCGTATCGGCATCAGCCCTATTGGGCCCCATCTGTGGTGGTCTGATGGCTCTTTGAGACGCACCGTACGCTCATTCAAGCCATACTAGAAGCGCTCATATTCATGGCTTGAAACTGGTCGAGTTACTCGTCAATAATTCAGTTGCCATCTTATATTTTGTCTTGTTATATCATAAAATAATATTTATTAAGAATTCTAAAACCTAGACACAACAAATTTTGTCGATAGTACTTAGTATTTCCATGCAAATTACATAGGCACTGTAATTGGCAATAGCTTGGGAAGTACTGTCTCACTGTCTGTCTGTCTGTTGTACGCTTGTTGTATAGCTATATATGTATATAGCTTTGTTGTATAGCTATGAATGTTCATGTAGGTAATAAGGTGAACAAAACAACAACAAAAAAAACAACAAACAAAACAAAGCAGAAGTGTATGACATTATCTATAATAACTTTATGCTAGTTTGTTTTTTTTAAAAAAAACGTTGCCCCACATTAGGATTTTCTTCTGTGTCGTGTGCGTTTACAAACATACAAGTTCATATACACATGACCCGAAATAACAATTTGCGGATCACACAAAGTGTTGTTCCGTGCGGGAATCGAACCCGCGACACATATCACGGCAGCCGGTTGCTCAGCCACCGCGCCAACCGTGCAGTCAAATATTAATTATTAATTATTGCCATATACCGGGAAAAATTCCAGACTACTGAGATTTTTTTTATAAACGCTGTAAAATTTGGCTATTTCGAGAATCGAACCCGAGACCCCTTAACCGGCACTTGCGACCACTCAGCCAACGAGGCAGTCAGGCAAAATATAATAAGTAAATAAATAAAATTTCACCTTACAGTTTGTCAAAGTTTTCACACATAAAAGAATGATAGAGGGCACTGAAACTTGCTCTGGTATCAGAGTACTGCGAGTTACTGTGTGTAAAATAATTCAACTAGGCTAAGGTTACGTAGAGTTATGGTCATAAGTACGGTCGAAGGAAAACATCTCTCTACAAAGACCTTTCACTTCCATAGGGGGGCAAGTCACCACGCATAGTCGCGGAGAACCTAACGGGTAACCGGGGCTCCGGCTCGACGTGCAGGAGAAGGAACGGGGTGGTTTTTAGTCAGTAAGAGTCTGACACTCCCTTCCGCCTCACCCAGGCGGGAGCAGTCATACGATGATTTTCCCCCCTTAAAAAAAAAAGTCACCACGCATGATACCACCGAATGTACAGACGGACTCGGTCGCCACCGAAAATTGAGAAAAAATTGCAGCCTGTCTAATGGAGACAGATTTAAAAGATACTCGGATATCTTTTCAGCATTTTTTCTTTTTTACAAAAGTAATCTCTAAACATCGGTAAAAAGGTCTATAATGGATAAAGCTGAGGGCGGTCACTGGTGACCGCTTCTTGGGGACTTTTTTTAAATAAAACTTTGCCCCACACTAGGATTTTCTCCTGTATCATGGGTGCGTTTACAAACATACAAGTTCACATACACATGACACGCAGACAACATATAACAAGTTTTAGAACACACAGAGTAGTTCCGTGCGGGAATCGAACACGCTGCACATTGCACGGCAGCCAGTTACCCAACCACCGCATCAACCGTATTAGCAGAAAACTGAATAAACAATCTCTTATCTTATACTATTATTTACAGCGGAAGAGTTTGTTTTTTTGTTTGTTTGTTTGTTTGAACGCGCTAATCTCCGTAACTACACGTCTGATTTCAATAATTCTTTTTGTGTTGGAGAGCGCATTTATCGAGGATGGCTATAGGCTACAAAACATCACTCTACGACCAATAGGAGCTGAGCAGAGAGTGTGAAACCGATCCGAAGTAGCTAGTAGTAAATAAGCATATAGTGTCACCACAGTTTAAACATATTATCTCTTAACTGACTGCCTCGTTGGCCGAGTGGTCGTAAGTGCGACTGCCAGGCAAGGGGTCTCGGGTTCGATTCCCGGGTCGGGCAAAGTAGGTATTACTGGGTTTTTAAATATTCTCAGTAGTAGCACGGAGTCTGGAATTGTGCCCGGTATATGACAATAGGCTCACCCCCTATTACATGGGACTCATAACATAAATAGTGAAAAGTGGGCGTTACATTGTACAGTGGTATAATGTGCACCTCTGCCTACCCCTTCGGGGATAAAAAGGCATGATGTTATGTTATGTTATGTGTCTCTTAAATAAGGAAGTACTTACATTATCATTAGACATAGTATTACACCCTCTGAGCGGCAGCGTGTACTGCAGGTCGCCTCGTTCCGACACATACTCCCGTAGACACGAGGAGTTGCTGCCCAGGCCCGCTGGGTAGACGATGCCGTTGAACGTGTCGTATACACTGAAATGGAGGAGAAAGATTGCATAAAACATCAGGGAGGGTAGATATATATGTCGTGGTGGCCCGGAGGTTTAAGACGCCCGCTTCTCATCCATGAGGGTGCGGGTTTGAAACCTACCAAGGGCAAGTACCAATGTCACTTTTTCCGAGTTATATGTACTTTCTAAGATTTTTCAGACACCACTGACAAACGGTGAAGGAAAACTGTGGGCATTTATAGGCTGTTGATGATGATGATGATGAGGGGATATGCTTAGAGTACACTAATTTATTCTAATGACGTAATCTTTTTGGAATAATAAGAATATGATGGATTACCTCGTCATAAAATTAAAAAATGCCATTCTTTTGTCTTGCTTTGCTTCAGGCTGCGTGCTCATTGTGTCAAAAATTTTTCTGATTTATGCTCCTAGCGTCCTGGAATTGCTCTGATGAGGACTGCCAAATCCATTTAGAGAAAGAGTAATCATAGAGTTTCTATCTGATAGGTACTTCTTCAAAGGAATATACAATTTGAATCGAATTAATACGTATACTTAATAGCCGGTCTAATGGATATAATTTAATTTTGACTTGATGCAAGAAGTCGCTGTCTAATTCAAACAGTGTAGACTTCCTAATTGTCGGAGCCGCGGAGGACTGAGGAGGGTTACCGGGACTCCGGCTCGAAGGGCAGGAGTAGGAACGGGGTGGTTTTTAGTCAGTAAGAGTCTGACACTCCCTCCCGCTTCACCCAGGCGGGAGAAGACATACCTAAGATGATTTCCCCCCTTAAAAAAAGACTTTCTAATTTACAGCGAGGTATCATAGCAAGTCTTACCTATTTTCCCCATGTGTGGCGAGTGAGACGGTGACATGCATGCTATCCTTCTCGCACGCCACGGTGAGGGTGTCGAGCGGAGCAACGGAACTGGGCCAGGCTGTGGTGTCAGCCTCCGTGGCTGTTCCCACCGTTGTCGTTGCTATTTCTGGGGGAGAAAGAAAAATAAGTTTATTAATTTTAGTCAACGATTCATCATTGTTGTGAGCTGGTTTCTGTCCACTATAGCCTTCTTTATTGTTCAATAACATGTCACAGCACAGAACTCGATCTTTATTCCTTCGCATCCAACTACTGCCGACTACTTTGGGACGTATCGTCAGTCCACCTAGCTGGAGGGCGCCCTACACTAGGTTTTTTCCATACGCGGTCTCCACTCCAGAACACGTCTACCCCAACGGTATTGGTTCTTCGACTAATATGGGAGATGGCATGGGAGAGCCATGCTTAGGCACGAATGGGCCGGCTCGACCGGAGTGATACCACGGGCTCACAGAAAACCGACGTGAAGCAACGCTTGCGTTGTGTTTCGTCGTGTGAGTGAGGTTACCGGAGGCCCAATTACCTTCCCCTTCCCCAATCTCCCCAATCCCTGAATCCCCAACGATCCTCAAACTCCTAATCCCCAAAAGGCCGGTAAGGCTTATGTTCAAGTATTTATATCGTAGGTGGTCAAGTATGTCGACTGCCTCGTTGGCCGAGTGGTTGCAAGTACGTCTGCCGGGCAAGGGCTCTCGGGTTCGATTCCCGGGACAGGCCAAGTAAGTATTACTGATTTTTTTTAAATCTCAGTTTAGCACGGAATCTGGAATTGTGCCCGGTATATGGCAATAGCCTTTTTTTGTTTTTTTTAGAGTTCCATGTGGTAGACCACATGGAACTCATAACATAAATAATGAAAAGCTTACACTGAGTGGGTGACCCTTTTAGCATAGGCATGTTGTCAGCGTCTCTTTTCTAATTCTTCTGTTTCAATTTTTCAACTCTTATATTTTTATTACTTCCACTGTCACATCTTGATTGTCTTTTTTTATTTTTTATTTATGCTGCATCGTGCCTGGTGCTAAATAAATGTTTTTTCTTTCTTTCTTTCTTTCAAAAGTGGGTGTTACATTATAAAGTGGCATTAAGTGCTGTAATGTGCACCTCTGCCCTGCCTACCCCTTCGGAGATAAAAGGCGTGATGGTATGTTATAGCGTAGTTTTAACAACTGTTTGTAACAGCACAGAGTATTAACTCATAAAAAAACCAATAAAAATAGTGTAAATAACATGCACTTTCTATCTATAAAATACCATAGATTCTTACCAGTCCCCCCAATTACTACTTAACCAACAAGATAGTCAATAAAAACAATAAAATAAAAACGTAAATATTAGCCTACCAGTAAAAAAAAACTGGACCACAAAACAAAACACGACTTTGAACTGTAACCACTCAAAGTCAGAACACAATTTCCTTTACAAATGATTGTTTTATATGAATTACTAGCTGTTTTCCGCGACTTCGTCCGTGTATAATAATGACTTTTTTTGTCTTTTCTCTCCTATTAAATATAGCCCATATTCATGATCGATAATGTAGGATTCCAACGGTAAAAGAATTTTTGAAATCGGTCCGGTAGTTTCGGAGGAGATTTCATTCAAACAAACAAACAAAAAATCAAATCTTTCCTCTTTATACTATAAGTGTAGATGTAGATCATACACGGCAATCAGAAAGCATTACAAATTATATGTAACAGATATAATATATGTGTAGAAAGTACGTAAAGAAATAAGTAATAACGGAGTTATGTTCAATAGCGGAACTGTGTGTTATGTTACGGATCTTAATTGTGTTACGGTTAAAAATAACCACTTTTTATGGTATAAGCCGGTACGGGCCACCTGATAGTAAGCAATCTGCGTCGCCCATGTCTCCTGGAACACCAGTGGCGTTACAAGTGCGTTACCGGCCTTTTGGAATTTCAGGATTTTTGGGGGAGCGGGGGGGGGGGGGTAATTGGGCCTCCAGTAACCTCACTCACATGTCGAAACATAACGCAAGCGTTGTTTCACGTCGGTCTTCTGCTCGGTCGTAGTATCCGGTCGAACCAGCCCATTTGCGTCGAAGCAAGGCTTTCCTACACTTAGCATGGCTCTCCTACACTTTAAAGGTGGGTTTTACTTTTAAGGTTTACACTTTTAAGGTTTAAATATGATCTTTATCCTATACATCTATCATGCCATGGACTCGAGCCTTCGTGCCTGAGCCTGAGAGCAGCATCAAGCTGAGCTCCGGCCTTTTGCGCTGCGGCTGCGACGCACCCTGAACTTTATGGTTAGTATAGTGGCTGGGCAACCGTCTGCCGCGTAACGTGTAGCGGCTTCGATTCTCGCATGAAGCAAATCTTTGTGTGATACACAAATTGTTGTTCCGAGTCTGGGTGTGTTGTGTATGTAAAGTTGTGTGTTTGTAAACGCAACCACTACACAGGATAAAATCCTAGTGCGGGGCAAAGTTTTATTTAAAAAAAGTCCCCAAGAAGCGGTCACCGGTGAGCGCTCTCAGCTTTATCCATTATAGACCTTATTTCCGATGTTTAGAGACTACTTTTGTATGAACAAATGTTGTGGATTTTTCATAATAAGAAGTTAAAAAGTAGAAAACGCTTATACTTTAGCAATGGAGTGCAATTACACAAATTCAAGATAAATATTGTTACATGTCTATTTTGTGACAAAACTAACTAAAAATTACTTCAGAAAATTGGAAATTTATACATATATAATAAACTACCTACGTGTATCCCAGACAGTCAGGAGCAATGTTATAAAGCCTTCCATATAAGGACTTTATGTTAAGTTTCCTGTAGTTTCTACGTCTAACAAAAACTGGTCCTTCGATCCGGGCAAAGGACCAATAAAACTAATGTATGGGCGGCGGGTGTCTTCCGCATGTCCTTAGTTGAGAGAATAAAGTACATATACTCTATATAACACTGCGTATATGTGTGTGTGTATAGACATACATACCCAATATCATATCCGTCACTAACATGAACATAAATAGTGAAAAGTGGGTGTTACTTCTGTGTGCACCTCTGCCTACCCCTTCGGGGGTAAAAGGCGTGATGTTATGTTACTAATTTTTCCATCATAATACATAGTGATGTAGACCTTAACACTATTCTTATAATATTGACATAAGCTTGTGAGAGACTTTGGTTCTACATAGAGTTTTTTTATGGCATAAGCCGGTAAGTGAGCAAACGGATCACCTGATGGTAAGCAATCGGCGTCGTCCATGGCCACCTAGAACACCAAAGGCGTTACAAGTGTGTTACCGGCCTTTTGGGGATTAGGAGTTTGAGATCGTTGGGGATTCAGCAATTGGGGAGATTGGGGAAGGGGAGGGTAATTGGGCCTCCAGTAACCTCACTCACACGACGAAACACAACGCAAGCATTGCTTCACGTCGGTTTTCTGTGAGGCCGTGGTATCACTCCGGTCGAGCCGGCCCACTTTTGCGTAACTTAACTGACAATTCACTAATGGAAGCCAGGAAACCTAAGTACGATAACCTGTACTATGGGCTCCCGGCCTTTCTCTTTCAGATATGGACTAAACATAGTGAAAACTACAAAGGAAAAACAGACATACAAAATCTTATACTATTATTATAAAGCGGAAGAGTTTGTGTTTTTGTTTGTTTGTTTGAACGCGCTAATCTCCGTAACTACAAGTCTGATTTGAATAATTATTTTTGCGTTGAATAGCGCATTTATCGAGGATGGCTATAGGCTATAAAACATCACTCTACGACCAATAGGAGCTGAGCAGAGCGTGTGAAACCGCGCGGAAGTAGCTAGTTCATAATAATATACAAATAAAGTTTTTCTAAGTAAAACATTAATAAATATTAAACTTAACACCCACTTACTAAAATAGCATTTTACATCAAACAATGTCCAAACAAATTGTCTTAAATAGCAAAACAAATGCGCCGGAGTCAGTGTCTCCCATAAAAACGCCTTGGCAGCGTTGGATGCGCGTGCGCCGGGTCAATGACCAGTCAACGCCGGACACCGCGACTTTATATCCAATAAGTATAGTGAACACAGAGTAGAGGTGTTTGCAGATGTTTAACTGATAAAAAAGATGTAGAAAGAACTATTATTGTTGGTTTTGTATATAAAATAGAATCTAATTTTCTCATGTCATGTCTGCTGACTACACCTTCAAGCAACACATACTCCTAAAGTAAGATAATAATTTCAGGTACCTAAGTAATTATAGTTTTATATAGTTTATAGTTAAAAAAAACGTTGCCCCACATTAGGATTTTCTTCTGTGTCGTGGGTGCGTTTACAAACATACAAGTTCACATACACAATGACACCCAGACCCGAAACAACAATTTGTGGATCACACAAAGTGTTGTTCCGTGCGGGAATCGAACCCGCGACACGTTGCACGGCAATCGGTTGCCCAGCCACCGCACCAACCGTGCAGTCAATTACTACTCAATATAAATCTGAGGACTGTTCTTCATTACCTTTATTTATCCTGAAAGTTAAAATGTTATTAGTAATTGTACTCAAGTACCATTATATCGTTCGTAAATAGTTTAAAAAATCCAAAAGTTGGATTATGTAGATCTAGAGACGACTGTGAAGATCAGATGGCAATTATTTGTACGAACTGTAGCCAATTCTGGTCACACATCAACATCAAAAGCCTATAAATACTCACTGCTGAGCAAAGCCTCTTCTCATATGGAGAAGGTTTGAGCATTAATCACCACGCTTGCTCAATGCGGGTTGGCGATTTCAAACTTATAATCAGAAATTATAAGCCCAGGTTTCCTCACGGTGTTTTCCTTCACCGTTTGTCAGTGGTGTCTAAATAATCTTAGAAAAAACATATTATAACTCGGAAAAAGCTGCATAGGTACTTGCCGTTGGTAGGTTTCGAATCCGCACTCTCATGCATGAAAAGCGGACGTCTTAAACCTCCGGGCCACCACGACATTGGAATTCTGGTCAGATTGCCAATTTCAACGTATTTAAGATAAAGCTAATTCTTCATGATGATTCAGTGATCTCAAGACCAGTTCCATTGCAATAGGAGAATTGCAATGTCAAAAATTTTGTTTTATATGCCGTTGTCCCACATTAGGTTTTGTCCTGTGTCATGGGTAGACCCGCATCAAAGGGCCGATGCCGATTCGGAGTCGCGGAGAACCTAACGGGTAACCGGGGCTCCGGCTCGACGTGCAGGAGAAGGAACGGGGTGGTTTTTAGTCAGTAAGAGTCTGACACTCCCTTCCGCCTCACCCAGGCGGGAGCAGCCATTCGATGATTTCCCCCCCCCCCCCCCCCTTAAAAAAAAGACCCGCAACAACAATTTGTAGATCACACAAAGAGTTGCTCCGTGCGTTAATTGAAACCGCTACACGTTGCGCAATTAAATTCTGGACACAATCTTTGTTTTTATTGTTAAATAACATTTCTCCATTTAACTGTTGCATAAACCTAGTTCAAGCACATCGCGACAAATATTAAAATTAGTCCTATTATTTTTCTGTTCATAGTTTTAAGCAAAATAATGTATTATTATTATCTAGTTAATAGTCTAGCATAATTTTACTTTAATATAGTAATTAAAAAAAGCATATTGTAAGTGGAGTACATTCAAATAAATTATTCTTATTCTTCTTATTCTATTCTAACTTAACTTCTTAACAAAGATTATATCAATGTAGTATAGATTTACTATTCCTTGCACTATAGCACATGGTTAAAACAGCAGGACAGATCAGATTACGACACAAACCCAGTCCATTCGCTAAACAGCAAAAATGAAAGGCGTTGACCTACTGCAGTCTTATCTACACTGTGGCGTGGGCTACTTTTTATAATGAACAAAGGTAAACGGTCTAAAGTAAAATTTTAAAGGATATACAACCTTCTTTGTGTAAGAGTCGTGATTGCAATTTTTCTACACATTAGGTGGTTTGAGAGGAGAATGTAAAATGGATTTTGTTGTTAGGGAAGTATGGTTTGTTTTCATTTGAGCTTTGTCAGCTATTTGTTGTCTAAGTTCGATGGTCGGTTTGCGGAAGATTGGTATAATATGGATGGTAACTAGTATATGTATATGGTTTTTTTTGGAAATTGTCAATCCTGACTGGTTTTGATTCCATTTATAAGACTTGATGGAGCTCTTTGCTTTAGCAAAGAGCTCTATCAAGACTTATAAATGTTCAAGTCTTATAAATAGGTTAATTTAACAAGTAAAAACTTTTAAAGAATTTGTGCGAACCATGCTTCGGCACGAATGGACCGACTTGAGTGATACCACGGCCTCACAGAAAACTGACGTGAAACAACGCTTGTGTTTCATCATGTCAGTTATCATGTTATCATACCGGAGGCCCAATTACCTATCTTTCTATTCTCTCCAATGCCCGAATCCCTAATAATCCTCAAATTTCTAATCCCCAAAAGGCCGGTAACACACTTGCTATGCCTCTGGTGTTCCAGGTGTCCATGGGTGGCGCCGGTTGCTTACCATCAGGTGATCCGTCTGCTCGTTTACCGGCTAATTCGAGTCGAGTTAATAAGTCTGTTCCCCAGAGTTCTCTCACATAAAGTAGTTGTAATGATGCTGTTATGTATCTTATAAGCAACATAAAGACATTATTTAAATTCCTGTTACAGACATTACAGTGTTAGTATGTACCTATCCACCAAATTTTTTACTTGTTTTTCATTCTTCTTACTGACTGCCTAGTCGATTATGGGGTCACATAATTAGGTATGTGAACGAGTACTGAGGATATTGAGTTCAACTTTCTGATATTGTGAGTATTATTTCTGAGATTTTAACTACATGCCTTTCTATCATACTTGTTCGTATTAATTATATCAAAAAGCTCTTTTTTTTTTAAGGGGGGAAAATCATCGAATGACTGCTCCCACCTGGGTGAGGCGGAAGGGAGTGTCAGACTCTTACTGACTAAAAACCACCCCGTTCCTTCTCCTGCACGTCGAGCCGGAGCCCCGGTTACCCGTTAGGTTCTCCGCGACTCCGAATCGGCATCGGCCCTAATGGGCCCCATCTGTGGTGGTCTGATGGCTCTTTGAGGCGCGCGCGGAACGCGACGCGCCGTATCAATCAAAATGCTCTAGTACTGTTTATGTAATGTATTGTGACTCTGTAATGGTAGTTTGTAAGTTTTTTTGGATTAAAATTATATATTTCCTTGCTGTGCCCGACAGGGTCCACAATGAACTGTATTATTCTATGTTACCACCTAAGTAAAACACTGTGGAACGCAATAAAGAATTTGAATTTGAAAAATTTGAATACTTTTTATTGCAATAATATTAGATTAAGACATCAAAAAAAAATCCTTATCGTTATCGTGAGGTAGGGTGCCCAAAAGACTGACAGCATTACCACGTTGAATGGCAATTTTTATATTATTTTTTTGTATATTTTTCTGTACTCACCTGTGGATGAAGGTAGCTGCTTAGACCGCGCGGTCGCTAGCAGCAATGTCGTCAGCAGTAATCGCCACATGATTCACTCTGAAACAAGGCAAAATAGACCATTAATACGGGACTTCAACAAATTGAAAGACATACTAAATTAACTAAAAATCGCGGGTTACTCACGTGAATATACTTTTATTTTCGATTTTTAGGTAATTGAAAGACATTTTTAATAGCCTGCCTCGTTGGCCGAGTGGTTGCAAGTGCGACTGCCGGTCAAGGGGTCTCGGGTTCGATTCTCGGGTCGGGCGAAGTACTACTGGGTTTTTATGAATTCTCAGTTGTAGCACGGAGCCTGGAATTGTGCCCGGTATATGGCAATAGGCTCACCCCCTATTACATGGGACTCATAACATAAATAGTGAAAAGTGGGTGTTACATTGTACAGTGGCATAATGTACACCTCTGCCTACCTCTAACCTAACGGGTAACCGGGGCTCCGGCTCGACGTGCAAGAGAAGGAACGGGGTGGTTTTTAGTCAGTAAGAGTCTGACACTCCCTTCCGCCTCACCCAGACGGGAGCAGTCATTCGATGATTTTCCCCCCTTAAAAAAAACCCTTCGGGGATAAAAGGCGTGATGTTATGTTTTAATAACCATATCTTCATGGAGAACCTTCATGTACCTGATGTAGGTGTAGGCGTTGCTCTGTAATTACTATCTAGAACCTATCTAAGAGGAAAAGGCGTTTACATGTACTTTAGATTGGGTACTTGTATAACTAACTTAATTTAAAATTAAACTAGTTTGCCTACAGTTTGCAAGCACGGCTACTGAGCATACAATTTTTTATTGCAAAATTCTTAGTAATAGTATAAAGTCTAGACCTGTATTCGGTGTTTCGTAATGGACTCGCCCCTCATTACAATACAATAACAATAATGGTACTAGTGGCAAAAACATATTAAATATAACGCCTACTTTGGACCAGTTACGTCATAAGTCTCATTGTACTAGACGGCATTATTACATTACAATTATTCTAGTCTTACTTTCAGTTGTACCTAATTTATAGAACCGAAATCATCTTATACTATTGTATTTTAACCACTTGAATGCCCGTATATGAATGAGACAATAGAAAATACATTGTGTCTCGCGTGGATCCACGTTTAGACACACGGGTTAAAAGTGTGGGAGAGCCATGCTTCAACACGAATGGGCCGGCTCGACTGGAGTGATACCACGGCCTGACAGAAAACCGACGTGAAACAACGCTTGCGTTGTGCTTCGTCGTGTGACGTGACCGGACTGGCCGGAGGCCCAATTACCCCTCTCCCCAGTTTCCCCAATTCCCGAATCCTCCACAATCCTCTAATTCCCAATTCCCAAAGGCCGGTAACGCACTTGTACGCCTCGGTGTTTCAGGTGTCCATGGGCGACGCCGATTGCTTACCATCAGGTAATCCGTCTACTCGTTTACCGGCTTACGTTTTTATATAAAAAAAACTAAAGAGTTTGTTTGTTTGAACGCTCAAATGTCAGGAATACAATTTCTTTTTCTTTTGCCGCAGGTTCGATTCCCGCACGGAACAACACTTTGTGTGATCCACAAATTGTTGTTCCGGGTCTGGGTGTCATGTGTATGTGAACTTGTATGTTTGTTAACGCACCCACGACACAGGAGATAATCCTAGTGAGGGGCAACGTTTATAAAAAAAGAAAAAAGAAAGAAAAGTATATTCATTTTCATATTAATTTTCAGAAATAAATGTAATGTCTATACTACATCGACATGGAAGTAATGACTATAAAATTTATAACAATAGTTATGTAAGCACAAGGTCGTAAAGCTTTGAGAGTGGCGCAGTGGGTGAAAGGACCGAGCCTTGCTGTATACGGTGCGAATTGGTCAAGTGGTGTACGCCTTATGAGTAGGTATTTTTATAGGTAAATGTAATAATCACGTCGTTTGGTGTGTGAAGGAGTAGCAATGAGTGTGTGTAACAATAACTATGTTAAATGTAAGATCGGTTTTTATATCATGTTAACGAACAATGTTAAACCTAAAACAAATCTAGGTCTTATACAAATAGCCTAAATAACACTACTAAAACCTAGTCGTTATCACGTCCAGTGCCCAGCAAAGCCTACAATCTCTGTGACATTGCGTACGCGCACGTTTTGTTGCAGTTCGAAGTTAAACTGTCCTTGACAAATAGACGTGATGGATTTTTGTATGTATTAAGTTATACTTAGTTGAAAGCCAGTGAATGTCCACAGCTGAAGGGCCTCGTTTCAATAAAAGGGTTTCATTTTATCTTCATGCCTTTTTATAAGGAGGGAAAGTCATCGAATGGCTGCTCCCGCCTGGGTGAGGCGAGAGGGAGTGTCAGACTCTTACTGACTAAAAACCACCCCGTTCCTTCTCCTGCACGTCGAGCCGGAGCCCCGATTACCGGTTAGGTTCTCCGCGATTCATGCAATCTTCAATATTTAATTTCTATCTTCATGCCTAGCAAGCGGATTGCAGATAGCTGTTTAAAAGGTTCAAGCCGTGGATACACTAGGGGACAATTAATATCCTGTGACACGTGTCGTCAGCCACGTTCGGTGAAGTAGCGCGGCATTACCAGGCTTTGGTAGACATGTCTTTTTTTTGATGACGGGGGAGACCTTCAAAAGTCGCCTTTGATGAGAAAGACTAGGGAGTGTGGGATTCGTATCTCACTAAAACGTCCCCGGTGGCCACCCTCAGCACCTTGAAGCACCAGAGACTACCAGGCACCAGACCAGAGGTGCACATTACGACACTTAATGCCACTGTACAATGTAACACCCATTTTCCACAATTTATGTTATGAGTCCTATGTAATAGGGGGTGAGCCTATTGCTATATACCGGGCACAATTCCAGACTCCGTGCTACTACTGAGAATTTAAAACCCAGTAATACTTTGCCCGACGCGAAAATCGAACCCGAGACCCCTTGCTCGGCAGTCGCACTTGCGACCACTCGGCCAACGGGGCAGTCTTTTCAGATTTCTCAAAATAATAAAAATAAACAAGTAGGTACCTATTGCAATTACTGTATCGATTATTTATTATTACAACACTTTAAACAAACCCGTTCCACTTCTAGAGGTATATTTGAACTAAATATGTAACAGTTTTATTTTGTCCCATTCACCGCGCCACTTGTTCAAATATTGTAATTGCGTAACGTTCGAGTAAGAGTATCGTGGTGCATGGGACTAATAAATGTACTGTTTGGCAATGAGCTACTTAGGTTTCGTTGTGGCGTGTAATGGACAGCGGTATAATATAGAAAATGGGGCAGAAGGACCATTTTTCTAGTAATAGTCGAGGAGAGTAGGACCATTTTTCCCGTGTAAGTTTATGTATAACAGTGTTTTATCATGTTCAAAGACGGCCTTACATTGTTTCTGCTTTATCTACATATATGCAATCGCCAGAGAACATCAATAGCAACCCGTAATAGTCCAACCACTATGAGCCTTAAATGTGGGAGACCCATGCTTCGCCACGAATGGGCCGACTCAACCGGAGTGATACCACGGCCTCACAGAAAACCATAGTGAAGCAACACTTGCATTGTGTTTCGTCGTGTGAGTGAGGTTACCGGAGGCCCAATTACCCTCCCCTTCCCCAATCTCCCCAATGCCTGAATCCCCAAAGATCCTCAAACTCCTAATCCCCAAAAGGCCGGTAACGCACTACAGTCGAGCCGGCCCATTCGTGCCGAAGCATGGCGCTCCCACACTTTAGAATTAATGAAACTGTTATCTTTCTCACTATAAAATTTGGTCCTTCTGTCTACACTTATAGATTGTACATTCGAACATTAGTAGTCACCCAAAGTATATAGTTACGATATATTTAAGCAGCTTACGGTCAGTTTAAAAAGGATGGATAATAATATTAATACAGTAAAAGTAAGTCTCAGTTATCTCATAAGTGAGGGGAGTTATGACATGAGTAGTTGTCTATAATCGTTAGTTATTTATGATTGGTAGTAAGCGGTCTAAAGAGGTTTACTAATGGTTTATTACGAAAAGAAAAAGTATTTGAAGTCAATATTAGGGAATATATCAAAATTAAAAAATTTTAGATTTTCGAAGATGGCTATATACATATTTAGGCACTGATAATCGGTAAAGGAAAACATCGTGACTAAACGTGAGCTTATAATTTCTAATTATAAGTTTGTAATCGCTAACCTGCATTGAGCAAGCGTGGTGATTAATGCTCCGTGTGAGAAGCAGCTTTTGGTCAGCAGTGAGCACTTATAGCTGTTGATATGTGATGTGATGTTCTCCGAAGTACACAATATGTTGTGTTGTATTTGAAAATTATCCCAAACCGGTCACCGGTGACCGCTCTCCACTATCTCCGACCTTATAGACCTTATTTCCGATGTTTAGACACTACTTTTGTATGAACTTTAGGGGTTTTTTTTAAGGGGGGAAAATCATCGAATGACTGCTCCCGCCTGGGTGAGGCGGGAGGGAGTGTCAGACTCTTACTGACTAAAAACCACCCCGTTCCTTCTCCTGCACGTCGAGCCGAAGCCCCGGTTACCCGTTTGGTTCTCCGCGACTACTTTAGGGGTTAAATATAATACTTTACTTAGAAATCAATTTCGAAACCAATGCTTGCAACCATTCGACTAACGAAATAAAAGTTAACAAGGAATATAAAAGAAAAATCATTGTTTAAAACATATGCAACATTAATACGGTAGACGGTCTAAGGAATGGTCACCCTGGGAGACGCCTTGTCGCACGAAATCGCATCGCAGCAATTCGCATCGTAATTTTCTGCGTTGCGAATTCGCATCGCACCATATCGCAGTTTTGTGTACGAGCCCTTAAGAATCAAACCCTACAACCTCTACCTCATCATCATCATCATCATCAACAGCCGGAAGACGTCCACTGCTGGACAAAGGCCTCCCCCTTAGCCCTCCACGTCGAACGACAACTCGCCACCCGCATCCACTGGCTCCCCGCAACTCTGGCGATGTCGTCGGTCCACCTAGCGGGAGGCCTGCCCACGCTTCGTCTTC